TCTGAAGAATTTTGTATTTAAAAGAAGACGTGTTACAGAAGAAATGGCAAGAGGACCAACAGCAGAGGTAAGCATGTGTGTTCGTTCTGTTAGTGCAATATCCGTTTCCTGGTGTTCATACTGAAGCATTTTTTTTTTGTTTCTTTTGTTTCAGGTCCCGCTCATATCCTGTGCCTCACCGTGGCGAGCGGGTGAAACAAAGAACGGTGCATCCCCGAAACTGAAAACAGTGTTACAGTTATTCGCAATCTTCCTTGACAATTCCTACATGCTGTTAGTTTCTTCGTGTTTGTCTGTCGGTCTTTTTTATTTCTATTTTTGACAAATTTGGTAATTCAAATCGTTTTTAGGAACACAGCCACCAGTTTATATTCGCTCAGTTCAATTCAGTATGAACGTAAACACATACACGTGCACATAGGGCGTGTCCGTGAATAATGCACATGCGCTTCCCTTGTATGGGCACTAATGGCCGACATTTTGAACATCTCCAATAAGAACGGCCTGATGGCATTTCTGTACTATAATTTCCTCTTGCTATTGTCGTTTCCTGATATTCCTATGGACGAAATAGTCGCTTTGGGGCCGTAGCTTACCTTAAACGATTCTGCCAGATTGCATGCTGTTATTGAGCCTTTGGATTTCGCAAAATATTTTACAAAGCAGTGTCGACAACTGACTGGATAAAAATTTTTATCAGGCCGACCTCAAACATGTTATTTTACGTATGTGTGACGTCAGTCTGCTGTAAACCTACCCCCTCCAAAAGATTTTCCAAGATGAGGGGGCAGGCAAAAAATTTCTCTCAAGCACGTTGAAACCGTTTAAGAATGATTTTGTGAACATAAAAGGCGCCGGTATATTGGCAGTTGTCTTTCTTTCTTCAGTCTCGATTTTTTAAAAAAGTCGCCGGGGTGGAGGCTGCAAATACTTAGTTTTTATTCTCTGCTGCTGGCGTCAATGGCTGTAAATTTTACAGATTATCAAGTTCAGGGCGATAACAGGACTTTGGACAAGAATTTTGATGGTACTAAATTAAATACTGTTTATCGTTTTAATGCTAGTGATTTTCTCGAAATGGCCGTGTGTTTTACAAAAGTTATGCAATATATTGCGCGTATAGTTCCTTCGTCCTTGTGACCTTTATGCAGCAAATCGGTTTCTCATTCGAATATTTGATGTACACATTTCAAAATATTTTCAAGTCTTTCAGTAATGAGGGGCTTAAGATCAACTTAGGTGGACGGAACCGTACACAGTCAGACTCGTTTAATATAAGAACATGGATCAAATCTCATCAAAATCTGTCAAAAACGCAGTTGCGCGTAAATGCTAATTTATGCAGTAAGTAACACGGCCCTTAAAATGAAGAAACTGCACTGGAATAAAAAATCTTGATAAAATTTTGTATCAGTCTGTGAAACCCAGTTTCATTAATATAGGCAAGGCAGTGGGAGCTCTGATATGTGCAGACAGACAGACGGACGTGAAGAAACTAATAGGTACGTCTGAACGCACCAAAGCTGTGTGATCATCATTCAGTGCTTATTACACTACATTCTGTGGCAAATGTTAATTTTCATCGGTGTAGAGGCGGAAAATGTTGTGGAGAATGTAAAAAACGTGCCGAAACAAAGAAAACTGTAACAGTGCAGACCACTGACGTGAAATCAGATGCTTCGTTTGAAGCCAGGTTTTTTCAGGCCACATAGCTAATAATTTGAAACTAAGGGGAATGCATCGTCCTTTGGCCAAACAGGATAAATGCTAAATTTAATTGTTTCTTGGTAAATATATTAGTAGTGCTTCGCCATCGCTATTGAGTACTCAGTTGTTCAAGAAACTCTCTCTTTATAGAACCTGAAGAATCCTCATTCATCGCCAAATCCCTCTTCTACATTCTACAAAAAGTCCAGCAATATTAAATTAATTCTTGCATGAAACACGTCACATGTGCAAAGATGGTGACTGAATGACCCTCCATTTACATGACAGGCCCACTTTCGTAATGGATGTGTAGATCCACGTTTCCTTGACCTCGGCACTAGTTGGAGGTGAGTTGTCAGCTCCACGCCCCGGCCGCTTTACCCCCAGGGAAAGATCCCCCAGTACCCGTTGGATAGGAGGCTGGGTGGACCATAGATCCGGTCTGCACGACACAGAGAAGTTAAAATTCTTGCGCTCATCGGGACCCAATCTCAAATTCCTTGGTTGTCCAGCCCGTAGCCAGTTGCTATACCGACTGAGCTATCCTGGCTCTATACACAGGATTGGATTCCATTTTCAAATTATAACCCTGCAATATCGCCTGGGAGTTTTAACCACTCCTTTGCATGTGAAATGCTTTTGACTCTGGATGCTTCAGTAGGAAGGTACATGCCATGATTTTGACAAAACTCTGGCAGCTGCTTGTACAGAACGAGCCAGCTCCACAGAGTCAGTTACTTGAGCACTTGAGGAGCTAAGTATTCAAACCACGCTGTATCATCACCGTCGCCATCATTGTTGCTTGCAATTATTAGTATTATAATTATAAAGCCAGGATGCCTCAGTTAGTATAATGACAGCCTACTGACTGGATGGTCAGTACTTAATTGACAGCAGGAGCAACATTTTCTCTACTCTAGTGTCCAGACTGGCCCTGGGGTCCACCAAGCCTCCTGTCCAGTGGGTAGCAGGGGCTCTTTCCCCGGGGTTAAAGCGGTCGGGGCCTGAAGTTGACCACTCACCTCCAATTAGTGCATGGGTAAAAAAAATTGAATCTATACATCTACTCCCCCATATGGCTTCATGTCATAGTGCTTAATTAGTTAAGTACAGGGACAATCTTACTTTTACTATGTTGTATTTTAGCGTCCTGTTGCACTGATTCATATTCATAATGTGTATACATTAACAGTCTTCAAGTGCATACAATCCCGTCTACCACTTCTACACTACGTGTTTCGGCAGTATGCTGCCATCTTCAGGTGTGTCGATCCGTCAACTATTTTACTGCTTGCCTTATATGTCCATTTAGAAATAATATCTCATACGTCATATTTTTAAAATTCGTGTGTATTATTAATTATCCACATGGGGCCGTTCTTTTTATGTTCTAATGTTGTGTATATATTGTGTCTTACGGTGTGTTCTGCTCTTGTGGCTACGTGCGTTGAATCGTTGGATGTTATTACCAATCTGATATGCGTATATTAAAGTCTACGATAAAGAAGAATATACAGCACATTGCCTTCCGGATTTATGAAATGTGTGTTGCTGTTATAGTTAACTCCATGGAACAGAACCCCTCTTGAGGAACTAGCAGGTGGCGAAGGACTGAAGAGTTCTGTCTTCTGGGATATACTGCTATGTAGTTCAATGGAAGTCGGCCGACGTTTCGGAGGAACGTATGAAAATGGAGCCCTGCTTACTGTCTACTTCATGCTGGTTTCTTGCTTGTATTAAAGTCAGACCCTGAGGGTGAAGGCGATATGTTCCTCTGCAACGTCGGTTGGCTACGTGACTTTATATACCATAATACAGAATTCTTCACAGCCACCGCTGTTTCATTCATTCATCAATTTCCTTTATTTTCCATATATCCATTAGGGACCTTCAAATCTAGCATTTCTAACATGTTAGCTTTTGTGTTAAGGGGATGTTAGCAAGGACAACCCCTTGTCAGCTGTACGCAACTGCCCAATACTCATAGTTACTTTCGCCTATTTTGAGGCCGTCTGCTCCGTTTGCTGAGTACGGACCTTAACGTGGGCTGTTATATAGAAGCAGTAAAGGTAAAGCTATCCCTGTAACAGGCCATGGAGGCCTGTAGGGTTGTAAGGCATCGAAGCTCCCACATTTTCTAGACAATCAGCTCACAGATGGCAATGAGGTTGTCGGCCTTAAGCGCCTGCCACCCTTTACCCCCAGGAAGATTCCTGGTATTCATTTCTGTTAGAAGCTGAGTCGACCCCAAGGCCATCATTATTATTATTATTATTATTATTATTATTATTATTAGAGGGGGTGGGTTTCCCCATGCACTTAGACCAGTTATTGGTCCATTGTGCGTCCCCCATTAATTTCTACTGTCGCCATACCCTACCGGTTCTGGTCGTGCTATCAGCCCCGTTCAGCCAACGAGGTCGGCCGTCGGTACCTGATATTTCCCCCCTCTACCAGAGACATTGGAAACTACTTGGG